TCTGAAACACACTCTGAAACACACTCTAACACACACTGTGAAACACACACTCTGAAACACACTCTGAAACACACTTTAACACACACTCTGAAACACACACTCTAACACACACTCTGAAACACACTTTAACACACACTCTGAAACACACACTAACACACATTCTAACATAAACACTAACACACCCTAACACACACACACACACACACTTTAACACACACCCAAACACACACACTCTAACACACACTAAAACACACTCTAACACACACTAAAACACACTCTAACACACACTTTAACACACACTTTAACACACACTCTAACACACACTCTAACACACACTTTAACACACACTAAAACACATTCTAACATACACACCAACACACCCTAACACACACACACACTTTAACACACACCCAAACACACACACTCTAACTCCCGCACAGACAGGATGTTGAGCGGCAGGTTCCTGTAGGAGAATTGCTCCTTCAGGTTAAAGTTTAACCCGGCAGCAGTGTGACCTTTGAACCCTGTGGAACAAACCAGCAGCGATGCAGTTAAAGTTCCTGCGTCGCTGCAGGACTTTTCGTTTTCTCAGAAGATTTGATTTCAAACTCATATTTCTCTCTTTTTTTTTAATCATTCCTAAAAACAAACAGCTTGAAATGGAAAACAACAACAACTTTTAGACGTTTTAAATCATATTTTAGAGAACATGTTTATTTATTTTACATGACATGTTTAAAAAAAGCTTCTGTTTTGTTTTTAACACGGATTTTTCTGTCTGAAATATTAGATCCTGTTTGTTTGTGTGAATCATTAATGGGAGACGTAGTTTGAAACTTTTAGTTTGTTGGCGTTTGTTTTAATAAGTTTGTTTTAAAAGTTTTCATTACCTGATGGATTAAAGGATAATAAGTTAATTATCTCAGTTAACACCAGAAAGACAGTTTAAAATTAAAATAACAAAACACAATTGCATTGTCTTATTTCAAGTGCATTTTATCTAATTATCTTATTTTAAGAGTAAAATATTCATTCCATTGGCAAACTATCTCATTTACGAACCCGAACTAAGGTTAAATACATTTAATTTAAGACACCTTTACTTATTTCTAGATTGTTTTTGCAGTGAATTAATATATACTCAATATACACTGGAAAAAATCAAAATCTAGATAAGTCATTTTTTTCTCAAAATAATTGTATTTGTTCCTGGAAGAACTAACTAGAAATCATTAAAAATGTCTTAAATTAAGTGTATTTACCCTTAATTTTAGCAGGTAAATGAGATAGTTTGCTAATGGAATGAGTATTTTTACTCTTAAAATAAGGTAATTACATAAAAAGCACTTGAAATAAGACAAAGTCATTGTGTTTTCTTATTTTAAATGTAAATTATCTTCTTGGTAAAATGTCTTATCTCTTCAATCCAAGAACAAATGACTTATTTTAAGATAAAAAGTCTTATATAGACTGAGATGTTTTCCAGTGCAGATACTGTAACCGTGGTTGTAATCAGATTACTCACCCCTGCCGGCGCTCACAGTGGAGGAGGAGTTAGATGAAGGCGCGGTGCTGCTGGCGGTGGTGGAGGAGGAGGAGTTGCAGACAGAGGAGGCGGCGGCGACGCCGGAGGAGGTGGCGCTGGGGGAGGTGGTGGAGGCCGGGACCAGCCCCTCCATGTCGGCC